AAAAAAAAAAAAAAAAAAACACATGATGTTAAAAGATTTTGTGGCGCCACATTACTAACTGTCCTGGACCGCATCAGCCCACTGGCCGTGGGTTGGACAGGCCTGAGCTAGACCAAAGAGCCCAGAAATCCCAATCAACTGGAGACCTATGCAGATGGCCCCAACTAAAACTGGTTTTATCTATTTTGTTTATAGCTACACAAATAGTATTTGGCTTCACTACCCCCTTACAAAGTATGCAATTTCATGATCCTCAAAGAGCCAGCATTTCACACAGTTTCTTTTCTTTTCTCCAAACCACCAGCTAATGTCCTGGAGGGCGACTCTATGGATCAGGATGTTGAGAGTCCCGTGGCCATTCATCAGCCAAAGTTGCCTAAGCAGGCCAGGGACGACCTGCCCAGACACATCAGCCGCGACCGGACCAAGCGAAAAATCCAGAGGTACGTGAGGAAAGACGGCAAGTGCAACGTCCATCACGGCAACGTGAGGGAGACCTACCGCTACCTGACCGACATCTTCACCACCTTGGTCGACCTGAAGTGGAGATTCAACCTGTTGATTTTCGTCATGGTTTACACAGTGACATGGCTATTTTTTGGGATGATCTGGTGGTTGATTGCATACATTCGAGGAGATATGGACCATATAGAGGACCCCTCCTGGACTCCTTGTGTTACCAACCTCAATGGGTTTGTCTCTGCTTTTTTATTCTCAATAGAGACAGAAACCACCATTGGTTATGGCTACCGGGTCATCACAGACAAGTGCCCGGAGGGAATTATTCTCCTCTTAATCCAGTCTGTGTTGGGGTCCATTGTCAATGCATTCATGGTGGGATGCATGTTTGTAAAAATATCTCAACCCAAGAAGAGGGCAGAGACCCTGGTCTTTTCCACCCATGCGGTGATCTCCATGCGGGACGGGAAACTGTGCCTGATGTTCCGGGTAGGGGACCTTAGGAATTCCCACATCGTGGAGGCTTCTATCAGAGCCAAGTTGATCAAATCCAAACAGACCTCAGAGGGGGAGTTCATCCCCTTGAACCAAACGGATATCAACGTAGGGTACTACACGGGGGATGACCGTCTGTTTCTGGTGTCACCACTGATCATTAGTCACGAAATTAACCAACAGAGTCCTTTCTGGGAGATCTCCAAAGCCCAACTGCCCAAAGAGGAACTGGAAATTGTGGTCATCCTGGAAGGAATGGTGGAAGCCACAGGTAAGGCATGTTACATCCTAAGATATCTGTGGGATAGATGCTCATTTTAAACTGGACTGACGTTCTTATTTACTACAAGATAAAGAATACTGACTCTCACTCACTACTGACATTTCCTTGCTTCATGAAATAGTATGCCTTTGTGTTCCATAACCTGAAGTATATCTGCCAAGAAGTCTAGCCATTTAGATTTGAAAAGCTGTTTAGAAAACAAATTAATGAACAATGAAGAATCACCTTACAATGTATTATAAATTTCCAAATATTTACCTAAATTAACATTTGATCTGTCTCTGAAGCACTTTTCAAATGGCTTTAAAAATGCTGATTTAAATAATTGAGGTTATTTATTACCAAGTTAAAGGGAGGAACTTAAGCTTTTCACAGAAAGCCTGACAAACTGCTTTAATAAAAATGCAATTTCACTCATTCTTTGGGAGTCATTTGCAAGACCCACAGCATTGGTTTTTCTTTTGTATCAAGTGAGCATTTAGTATCTCTCCATACTCTGCCTATTGAACCCGCCCCCTAGAGACATAATGCTGCAGACCTTGTAAATAACTATGGCAGGAAATAAAAAGATTGAGGATTCATTCATCTTAATTCTATTGACCCTTCTGCTGTTACCGGCTAATCATTTGTGTGTTCTAGAGAAGATAATCTGTCCTTAAAATGGAGAAAATGATCTACTTTTATTGAAGTTTTCACTCATATCTGAACTTTACACATATGACACATCCAAAGAACAAAGCAGGTTCTGCTCATATTTATCTGTAACAGTCCACAAAATAGAGCCATCAGCTCTGACTGAGATAATAATGTCTCCCAGGAAAAGTATAACTAGAACCTTAATTCATTAATTCAATCACTGTTCTTCTGAATTATCAATATTAACCTTGGGTCCTCTTCTGTGATACAATCTTCTCTTTTGTGCTTTTAAGTCTTCAACTTGAAGTTCAGGGTTGGTTTATATCAGGGGTGTCCAACCCATTGGCTTCCCTGGGCCGCATCGAGTAAAGAGGAATTGTCTTGGGCTGCACATAAATTATATAATATAGTTCGTATATATACCTAATAAGACTTTTTATTATAAAGTTTAGAAAAACGAGAACAATGTAAAACTAGTGAGAAATTTTTACCTTGTTTTTGTAGAACTAATCTATCAATGTCTGGTTTGATGGAGTTGGTCGCAATTCTTAGTAAGTTCTCAAGGTGCTCATGAGAAACTTTTGTTCTTCATGTTCATAATTAAAAACAGTTGCTCATAAATGTATGTGCTGCCAAAAAGCAATGTCATGAATAAGGTGTGATTGTGAACTTTGAAAATGGAACTATACATAGGGACAGGAAAAAAATAAATGCTAAAAAACACATGATGTTAAAAGATTTTGTCAGGCCACATTACTAGCCATCCTGGGCCGCATGGACATGCCTGGTTTATATGGTTCGAAAATGCATGACCAATAGGTCAGCCCCAGATTCTTCATCTGCCTGTAACACGTGACCTAATCCTGGTCATCCCTTTCAGAGAAAAGTCATTGGCCCCATGTATCTATCTCCCTGTACCCAATAGGCATTGTACCTCTGACAAATGTCTCTTATGGTGATGTAAGTTTCCACAGTAGGTTTGTTGTGGTGGTGGTGGTGGTGGTGGTGGTGGTGGTGGTGGTGGTTTTAATAGCTTTAAGAGGTACAAATGGTTTTTGATTGCCTGGATGCATTGTATAGTGGCGAAGAAATCTGTGTTTTAAGTGTACCCATCACTTCTATCTGTGCACATTGTACCTGACGGGTAACTTTCATCCCTCCCCCCACTTCCCAGCAGTAGGTTTTTTACATGCAGCAAACAATGAAAACGTGAGTGAAGGGGTTTGCGTGAAGCTCAATGGTAAGAGTGCTTTAAAGAATAACAAAATAACTGTTGTGAAATACTAAATAAGTGCTGGGATGTTAACAGGGCTTTCTGTACCTTGAGCCTGATTTTGGAGTGCACTTGCAAAGTAATAGATGGCGTGGGAGGGAAGGGGAGAGAAGAGAGAAAGGAAAGAAGAAGGGACGGACAAAGGGTTAGGAGGAAGACAGGAAGGGAGGAAAAGGGCAGGAAGGGGAGGAGAAGAGACGTCCAGAGTGGAGGAAGGGGAGCTCTGTCACTTCCCACAAATGAGAAACTTCTCCAACCTTAGCTGAGCATAGGGACTCTGGATCCCCCTAGTGGTGGCCACTGAGGTACAGCCTCTGACAGCATGAACTGACCACTTACAATGTAGTTTATATTAGCTTCCCACGGTAAATTCCCCCAATAGGACGTGAGAGAGGGCAGTATTGCATCTCTGAGCTCAAGAAGCAAAAACCACTGAACAAGTACCCCCTCTGGTTACTGATGTTAATCCACGCTTCAAACTGCAGGAGCTAAGCTTTATGTTCCCTCAAACCAAAACCCAATCTCAAAAAAAAACAAATGTATCTGGAATAAGCAAGTTATCTTTGTGATGTCCCTGAGTCAGAATTCTCCCTGGGGCAGACCCTGTCTTTCTGATGACAGCTTGTAATGACTGAGCCTTCCCAAAGGGAGAAACCTCGTTTACTTGGTAATTAACAGTGATACTTGCCTCTGAGCACTTGATGGCCTTTCCACAGCTTTCTTAGAGAAAACTGAGTAATTACCAGGAAAAACAATCAAAACTGTTTGTCTCTGTCCCTGAGAAAAGTCACCTACTACTAATTTTACTTTTAAAAATAGCTTTCTAAACTGGGCTCGGTGACTCAGCCTGTAATCCCGCGCCTTTGGGAGGCTGAGGTGAGTGGATTGCCTGAGCCCACGGGTTCGAGACCCGCCTGGGCAACTTGGCAAGACCTTATCTCTACAATAAATTAAAAAAAAAAAAATTAGCCGGGCGTGGTAGCACGCGCCTGTAGTTCCGGCTACTTGGAAGGCTGAGGCGGAAGGCTCGCCGGAGCCCAGCAGGTCGAGGCTGCAGTGGCCAGGAGCAGCCACTGTACTCCAGTCTGGGCAACAGAGCGAGACTCCAACTAAAAAAAAATAAAAATAACTTTCGGATTTTCGAAAATTGTGGAGGGTGTTCTAGAAAGTTCTGGAGATGTCTGGAAGCCGGACATGTCTTGGTCTTTTCCTCATGGGATTTGTACAACTCAGTATCTCCAGTACCTCCAGCACAACTGAACTCTTAAGTTTCTGTGGGATATTTCTTCTTTGTGAATGAAGAACACAACTGGGATTTATGGGCATTAAACAGGTCCTTAGGGAGAAAAATGCTTCAATGTATCAAAGCCACAAGGAGAATAAATGCGGACCAAATACACACTGGAGGAAAACAAATTCACAAGGATCTAGTTATTCATTGTAGTGTGGATGGAAATCAGGAGCCATGAAAGCAGCAAGCTGACACAAAACAGCTTCTGCTGCACTTATTACTTCATTGAAAATGTCTCAGTTGACCTTAAACTCCTATTTTCAGTGATCTCAATGAGCAGGCCTCTCTCAGGGATGAGTCCACGCTGCCATCTCGACACAGTGAGCTCTTCCCATCATGCACATTGTGGGCACATGGCAATCCCAACCTGGCATTTTCCAGGGATCTGAGTTGTCCCTCAGGAGAGTGGCCCCCCCAGCTGAGAGCTCAGGCCCACCTTAGGCTAGTGGATACATTGCATTCTAATGCCAGCTGTATTGCAGAGTCAGTTTCCATTTTTAGAAAACGAAAGTGGGCTCCTTGAAGGCAGGAAGTGAGCCCATCTTCTATGCCTGGAAGGGATCACACCAAAGGGAGACTCACACCCATATAGAACAGACCCATATATTTCTCGGATGGTTCTGACTGGTCCTGCCCGAAGTCAGAGGGTCGTGCCAGGTGACCTTTCGAGAACCTTCCAGTCATGTGGTTCTATTTTTAAAAAGAAATCAGACCCTGGAAAATTCTGACACTAGTCACCCAGACATCTAGGAGTTGGCCGTGTCTCATCTGCAAATATATTTTTAAAGAGGCCCGTTTATGTTCCTGACACATGGGCAATTTTGAGATAGTGGTGTTTACAGAAGGTTTCATAGCTACGTAAACAAACATGCTCAGCAGCTGTGGCAAATGTGCATTAAAATAGTAAAGCATTCATATAGACTGTTATTTATAGAGGGCAAATGGGCCTCGAGGCAAGATGACAGCCACACAGCACTGGGCTTGCTGCCAGTCAGCTCACCACGACAGCCTTGCTGATTGATGAACTTCCACATTTACCCCCAGCGATTATGCAACCATGACAGGCAGCCCTTCCTGACACCTCGGCAAATGGGCACCTCTTTAGGATGAATCCCAGTTAAGGCTCTTGATTATTTACACTCTTTACCATGAGACCTATAAAACTTATACAAAAACAGACCCGACAGTATCATTAACCCTGAACACCCACCATTCAGTACCAGAGATTGTGAATTCATGGTCACACTTGTTTCATCTGAATCCCCACTCACCATCTTCCTCCCAGCATCACATCATTTTATCTGTAAATATTTCAGTATGCATCTCTAAAAGAAAAGGACTCTTTTTAAATCATCACTATGATAATGTTAGAACACCTAAAATAATGACCAATAATTCCTCAAGATCCAACATCTACCAAGTGTTCCAACTTCCGGTTATCTCACAGATTTCATAATTTTTTCATTGTTCACAATTGGCTTGTTTGAATCAGGATCAAAATAAGGTTAACACACACTGTGAATGGCTGAGATCTCTTGTAAGTCTCTTAATCTGTGAGTTCTCCTTCCATCTCTGTTTGACTTTTGTTCTTTTCTGATAAGTTTTTCTTAAAGACGTGAGCTTCCAGAAGATTTAAATACTGAGCCAGATGTTGTGGCTCACACCTGTAATCCCAGCACTTTGAGAGGCTGAGGCAGAAAGATTGCTTGAGCCCAGGAGTTCAAGACCAGCCTGGGCCAAATAGGGAGACCTTGTTTCTACAAAAAAATTAAAAATTAACCAGTCAGC